CCTCGTCTTCAGCTCACACAGATCTTCAGCACCCCGGGGCTTACGGATTTTTACCCCCCCTTTACAAAAATAAGGAGGTACAGCAACTGTAGATACATTTCCAAAACCCTCATTCGCCAGAATTTACAACAGCGCCCCTTATACAAAAAGGTTTTGGGCAAACATTGAGCGACCTCTTCTTTGAAACAAATCCAAGCGGTTTTTCCCCAAAAGGTACATCCCCGAAAGCGGGGGGCTCAGGAGGTCCGTGCGTTTATAGGGCCGGGGCTCCCGCCGGGGTGCTGAAGCCCCGTGCCAGGCCGTCGGGCTCCCAGACGAAGAGGTTATGAGCAAAAAAAGCTGATGGGAGGAGTTAAAAAAAAAAAAAAAAATCAAGTAAAAAGCAAAGGGAGGGTAACGCTGCGGTCGGACCGAAGGCACCCGGTGTTTCGGAGCTCGCAAGGCTGCCGGGGGTGGGTGGCGTGCTTATTTTTTTCAAAAAAAAAATAAAAATAATAAACAATAAAAATCTTATTTACTGAAACCAGCATGTCAAACACGGTCCTCTCTTTCCTTCGCACCTGCAGCGCAGACGCCCAGCGCATCCCGTGGGGTCCGAAAACCCAATGACAGCGATAAGCAGGGATTTTAAAAAAAAATAAAAAATAATGTTTTTCTTCTCATACGCAATCAAATGAACCAAAACGAGCCCAAACTTTTTGACTTGGCTTTTCTCGTGCCGATCTGGAGTTCCGCGGATCCTGAAGTTGACCGAGTGGCTGTATCCTCCCACGTGACGACCCGCTCGCGGCTGCGGACAACCTGTTCCAGCCCTCAAACGCGGCTGGAGTTTAGCCCCGGGATCAGTTAAGCTCAGTTAAGCGGCGCCGGCGCGGACACGTACGTGGAACAGAAACAGCAAAAGGTTTTTTAAACAGGATTCGTTCGGGCGAGGAGCCGGAAAGAGAAAACCTGCCTGGCGTTCACGTGTAGTAGCATTTCAACAGTGAAACGTTTTAAATAATATCGTCATAAAACCCGCAGAGGAGTTACAAACGCTTCCCCTCTGCCCGCAAAGCGGAGCTTAAACGATCCCGTTCCGTGGTAAGTCCGTGTTCTAAGTCGACGACGCAACGGTGCCGCTCAGTTCGTCTCGCCAGAGGAGCGTCGTTCCTCTGAACCGGCATCCTGCTCGAGATGTTATTCTCCAAAGATCCACAGAACGTTGACTCCCGACAAACCGAGATTCACCCGCCTGCAAAAACCAAAGGTATGGGGATAAACCGCAAGTAAATTAAAGCGCCCGTTTAAAACGTCAAACGGAAAACTACCAGTTCCGCACGTCGGCGTTTTCACCCGTGGGCAGGTGTCGTGCTTTGCCGTGAATCGAGCGCGGCTCTTTCAGAACGAAGGGGAAGTCCGGACATTGCTTTTATTGCTCACAAGCATAAGGTTTACCCAATTTTACGAAAAAGCCGCCATCGTTTCAAACACGAAGATGATTTTAACGGCATTAATATCATCCCGCCGTAGCGATTCCGGTTTGAAGCGCCTTCAGGCAAGGCGTTTCAAACCGGGGCGCTCCGTTCACATCTCGTACGCGGCGCGATGACACGTAACATCGGGTACTTACCCGAGCATCCCCGATTCTTTCGTCTTTATGATATACAAAAACATAAGCAAGGTGTGGAACATGTTGTTTCTGCCCTGAATCCACAAAGAAAAGAGAACTTAGAAATCAACCCGCCGCCGAGAAATCGTAGCGGTATTTCAGGTAGAATAAGCGACCACAGAGAAAGACGTCATGAAACGGCATCGCGGGGAGGGTTGTCGGGTTTTTTGCCTCAATACTTCACTTCTTTCAATTAGGTGAACATCAGAAAAAGACCAAATGTGGGTTTTGGCTGGATTATCGTCTCCAAATACTTTAAATGTATTGTGTGGCCAGCAGGAGCAGGGAAGTGATCGTGCCCCTGTACTCGGCACTGGTGAGGCCGCACCTCAAATACCGTGTTCAGTTTT